ACTGGGATGAACTAAATAACGGTACCACAAAAGTGTATTTCGATAGAAAAAGTTGTGCCTATGCCATGTGATTAGAAAGGCTTGTATGGCAAGACAAATACATCTCAGAACCGCCCGTAAAACAGTGTATGTGTAATATCACTATGTTAAAAACTCCCACCCTAACCTATTACTTCCCAACTCATGAGGATAAAGGAACTAACACGCTGGATACCAGTAATATTCTAAACTTTAACTTCACTTTGGGAGTCAATTGGACAAGTCTGTACAAACTAATACAGGAAAATAAACAAATTAGCCAACTGACTGAAGCCACACGGACCCAGGTTCAAACACGCAGTTTGGCTATTTTACATCAGGGATCTGAAATATTAAGAGTATCTGCACAAGCGGAGCAAATCATCACGCACCATTGGTATGATATTTTAAAGGGATGGTCCCCATCCTGGTCTTCAACTTTAACAATTATGTTACATCCAATTGTTGTTTTCTTTATTCTGATAAGCTTAATGTTAATCATAATGTGTGGGATGTGCTGCTGGATGAAAAGGCTGTACTTTAAGCTAAAACCACAAGCTCACATTGTTTCCCAATATATAGCCTTAAAACAATTGCATAAAGTGTGACCCATTCAATACCCCTGGATTGAAGGGTCAAAAGGGGGACAATGTAGGACCAATGTGAATGAAATTGTTTTTAGTTATCCGCTGTACCATTTCTTATTTTCCATGTTTTCTCTGTGCTGCTAGGACTAAATGTGCTTTGCAGCGGTTGGTTGGTGCCTGGTTTCCATTGTCGCAGCCCCGGAGTAAAGGAAAGCACAGGTGCTTAGGGTGACCAGATAGCAAGTGTGCAAAATCGGGACAGGGAGTGGGGGGTAATAGGCACCTATATAAGACAAAGGCAAAGCCCTGAATGTCGGGACTGTCCCTATAAAATCAGGACATCTGGTCACCCTACGGGTGCTGGACCACGCTCAGATGTGCTGGGAAACTCACAGTGATGTTCAAACCCAAACCCCCAGGATGGAGGGAGACAGACGCAGGCCTCCACCTGTGAGAGGGGGCGGCTGGGAAGCTGGAAACCTGACATCCGGGCCCTCCAGAGGCCAAGGGGAAATCCATGGTGCAGTTACCCTGAAATTGTGACCCACGGCACTTACCTGTTACAATCAGATGGATGAAAACCAGACACTTGCTTTTGTTCATCTCAGATTCAATCTTATACACCCCTGCAATGGCTTTGCTGGCGTTCGTCACGGTGAGCCATCTGTTGGACATGGAGATGCGCCCGGCGAAGGAGCTGTTGAGTGGGTTTGATTTCCCTGGACGGATGATGGCTATCGGCACCCATGTCCCAGCCAAGGCATCGTACCAGGACAGCTGGGCAAAGCGCTCCGTGAGGTTAAGGGGCTGTTGCGCGTCGCCACCCTCGGGCACAGACAGAGGGATGTCCTGTTGACATTGGCTGGGGCCTGTGAGAAGAAATCAACATTTCAGGCCGGCTTTGGTGAAGCCTGGAAGAAGTCAGACCCTGATCTGGCGGGGGAGGGAGGGATACGTTACGGGGAGTGCTTCAGATATAAGGCGTAGACCCTGCAAATGCTGAAGCAGGCGTAGCATCACCCTCAGCTCGCTGCTCGAGGGAGCGTCTACACGGCAATACGAGCCCTGCCACGCCGAATCGCAGGGTGGGTCTACACAGCAACCGGACACCCCTGGGTGCCCCATGCCAGCCGACTCCAGCTTGTGGGGCTCGGGCTGCGGGGCTGTCAAATGGCTGGGTAGATTTGCGCTCCCACAAATGGGGAAGGTCTCAGAGCCCAGGCACCAGCCTGAGCCCCCAACGTTTACACGTCTGTCTTTAGCACCCCCCTCTCCCCCCGCAAGCCCGAGTCAGCTGAGCCTGCCTCGGTGCTGCGGGGGAGGGGGGCTTGGTAGTGTAGACACCCCTGAGTGTGTGCGGAATCAGAGCCAAAAATCACTAAACGGCACCAAGATCCCGGGCAGGGTCTGTGCAGTGCCCGGCACAATGAGGGCCTGGGTCTCCACACACACATCCCACGATACGCTGTGTTCCACACACCCCTCTTCCCTCTCCAAATGGCCTCCCGGCGCATCCCCTCCCCCACCCCCCCGTTTCCCTTCTGGCCTCTCACTTTCGGGGAACCCAGCCTGGCACAGAGCTCCACGGGCAGCACTTACGGGTGTCCGGTACCGCTTGCCCAGCGCGCCGGAGTAAGACGACGACTTTAAAGGCGATGCTTGCAAAGGCAAAGGGATGGGTTTGGTTTTTACACCTCGTGGCAGCCGAGCTGTGTCCCGCCATGATGAATTCTGAGTCTCGCGCCCACATGCCCTAAGCAGGCCCGCCCCTTGACCCTGCCTCCTCCTGCGCAAAGCGTATCAATCCGGACACTGGACATTCCGCAAAATTCCTGCAGGGCCCCCCAGTGAAAAAAAAGCCTTTCAAACAATCCAGACGGCACCGCGAGTGGGATGGCAAGAAATCGATCCGTTACACGTGTCCGCATTTGTACGTCCTATGCCAAGGAACGCCCTCAAACACGTTTAAAAGAGGGCAATCTTCGTCGCTGTGTTATTTTGAAGAAATAGTTTTTATCCCCCATTCCTCCAGCGCTCTGTGTCAGTCACTGTGCGCCTCTCTGCCTCACGCAGGCGCCAGGCCGGCAAAGCACGTTAGCGGGTGCTTTGTTTTAAGCATCTCAGTCGTCCCCTGGAAGCAGGGACCCCATGAAACACAAGAGGTCTCGTTTTTCTGTGATTCTGCAGGGGAAACTGAATATGGCCGCTGCATATTTTTAGACCCGCCCTGCGAGAGTTATAGCGTCTCAGCGCCTCGGCGTGTCTAACAGCGACTGTCCGAGAGATCACTTGTTTCCTCCTAGGCGCCTAGCAGGAAAGCCACAAACTGTCGTTCCTACGCATGCTGTATATCATTCTTCCGGGGCTCGGTGTTTTAAACCCGCCTGTGCCCTTTGAGTGCCTTGTTATGCATTTGAAACCTATTTCAGCCCAAAGAAGGGTGACACTCTCCCCCCACTAAGTCCTCCAGTGTCAAACAGCAAGCATGGGCGTCTTACCTCCTGAAAAGCAAGTTTCCTCCACATCTTTCCTTCCCCAGGGCTGCTGGCGATTCCCCCTGGTAGAGAGGCCCACTGATAGAGCAAAAATTGAGCAGGCAGGAAAAGCAGACGGGAGGTGGCCACTTCCTTGTGACAATGTCAGAGCAAGAGCAAGAGCAATGGCAGCTTCTCCCACGCCACCCCTCCGGCCCCACACGGCCAAGTTTCACTTCTCAGTTTTAGGGAAGCAACAGCTGCAGCCTTGGGCCTGGCGTTTGTCACCTGTGCAAAAAAAACATAATTAAAAGCCCCTCCCCCGAGGATTCGCGTCTCAGGAGGTTCCCCTGCCAAAATCGCCAGGTTGGCTTAGAAATCGGGAGCTGAATGGGAAACGCCAGGGGCTCTGTCTTCGCCTTTGGGACTTTGAGCCGTGTGGCCTGTTCCCTGCCCCGAGGGTCAGGAGCTTCAATATCAAGAGGCAAGGAGCGGAGCAGGCCTGGGGTGTGAGGCCGTGAACGGGAGCTTGGGGCAATGGGAGGGAGTCAGCGGGGCCCAGGGGCAATGGGGGGGTGGGTGGGGAGGCAGCGGGGGCCAGGGAGGATGGGGGGTCCGGGGAGGCAGCGGGGCCCAGGGGGCAAGTGGGGGGGGGGCGGGAGGCGAGGCGAGGGG